GGGGGGGGGGGGGGTCGCCTTTCGGTGGGGATGTGGGCTAAAGGATGTTTTGAAAAAGTTCCCGCTGACAGAAGAGAAAACCATGCGATGTTTGCGTGGCGACAAAGAAGGAGAGACTCGCGGGGCAGTTATGGAATTGAGAGGCTAGCATGCCATTGTTTTTTCTATCCCCGATGTTCGGGGAACTCCTTGCCCATGGTAAGTGGTATGTTGGGACAAACCAACGTTCCTCTGGAAACCCGACCCGCAGCCTTCATTAACTACCTGCGAAAACAGATGAAACCAGTTTATGATCTGGTTTTCCCTGATTTTCAAATCCACAAGTCGTGCTTTGACAAGCGCGGAAGAGGAGGGATTGGGTAGAGTCCAGAAGGTTAATTGTTGCCTGGAAATTGCCACAGAAACCAGTAACAACAGTGTCAATATCAACAACAAATCATCGTTAACATCAAGATCAAGATCAGCACTAGCACCGACAACAACACGACCCTTTTCAGGTGTTGGAAGTCCGGCGCTGCATGGCCGGGACCCCCGCATTCTCCGTGGTGGAGACGGGCGACATCATTCTTGCCGTCAATGGCAAGCTCGTCACCAGATTCAGGGTAAGCCCAGCGCCAACGGAGGCGGCAACAACGTGCTGAGGGTATTAAGGCGATGCGACCCGCAGGCACAAAGGCAGTGACAAGGAAGAGACAGCGCAATTGTTGATTGTGATTCGTGGGTATATACAGCAGAGGTCCCCCCTCATATATGGGTGGGATATGTATTGGGCGGGTGGCCGGTATACGTTGGCATCGGCAATCTGCGGGCGTAAACAGACCAGTCGATTATTTCTGTCGTTTATTGAGAAGGGCTGGTGCCCGTTATGTGGGAGAGTGAACCGGCCTAGCACACACCCTCCCTGTAGGGAGAGCTCACCTCCACTGCTGTACAACCTTTCGTCCTCGGTTGCCATCTTAATATTTACCCATATCGGGATGAGCGCGCGTTGCTGCCCACCGCAGCTTTTGTCTCTTGATGCGTTGAAATAGAATCGCGTGTGTGTGTTGTTGACGCCAAGCTCAACCTGACCACAAACGCACCGTTTGCACCTGCTTCGTTGCTTGCTTTGTTGGTGGATGGATGGATCACGTGTTGATTTTGTTTTGCGATGCGATGCGGCAGGAGGTGGAAGTGGCGGTGGAAGAGGGAGAAGGGTCGTCGGTGCGTCTGACCATCCTCAGGGAGTTGGAGGAAAGAGAGCTCACGGTGAGTGCCAGAAGGCAGAGAGAGAGAGAGAGAGAGAGAGAGAGAGAGAGAGAGAGAGAGAGAGAGAGAGAGNAGAGAGAGAGAGAGAGAGAGAGAGAGAGAGAGAGAGAGAGAGAGAGAGAGAGTGAGATAAACAGATACACAGATAGAGAAATGCATCCATCCTTCCACTCACTCGCCCACCCATCGGCTTTGCACTCTACGCACCCCCTACCCAACCCACCACAACACTACACGGTCAGCCGGCTGAGTGAAATGGTAGTGAAACGAAGTCCGACCCCCCCCTCGTGTTTCGGCGGAACCCCCAGGTCAAGCCGTCGTACCTGCCTACTCGAGAGACGGATCGCCTGTTCATGTGGGCCGGTCTGATGATCCAATCGCCTCACCTAGCCGTGCTTCAGCTGGGGTATGTGCAGCAAACAGATTGCTGAAGCTTGTCGCTTCCTTGTAAAATCAAGATTTTGGTGGGTGTTCCCCCCCCCCCCCCC